ATGATAAGCTCCCGGGGCATGAGCCACGGATCGCCACCCCCTAGATCCGGTACTGCTATGTACCACTGTTCAAATTGATCAAATCATCACAGTTTATCTACTGAGAATTTTCAACATATGAATTTCTCTAGATTTTCATTCATGTTAACTATTAATTTAATACAAAAATATATAATATACCTAATGCCTATTGCATTATAAAATCATCTATGAACTAAACTACATTGAATCTTTTTCCATCAAATACTGAACTGAACGTTAACTATTTACATTTTCTATAAAAGTTGCTTATCATTATTTTTATTCCATACAGTAGGTGCCTATATGCTTATAGAATACATGAATTATCTTTAAAATTAAATAGGTATTTTTTGTAACTGATGTTAAAATTATAAACATGTCACACAAAGCTATATATTTTACACACACTTAAATAAATCTCATAATTAATCATAATTTATAAGTTACTTTAAGCTAAATACAAGTTTGTATGCACAATCTGAATAATCTGATACAAGAAAATTTTTTATCAAGGTATATTRTTTTTTCTTTTAAAGTAACGATCAATATTTTTAAATATGACGATATGATGTGCAAGTCAAATATGTTAAACTTATACAGCCATACAAACATTAATATAATTTAACATCAGATTTATTGTATTCTTATGCAGTTTTAATATATATATATATATATATTAGTCTCGTGAAGTCGTGAAACTATCTTACTTAACAACCATAAAATATGAAAAGTGTTCGCAATTTAACTTATAAGTAAGAAAAATAAATCATGAATATATCATATTTTTGATTATTATTATATATTTTTTTTGTAATATTTAATTAATTAATTAAATTTAAAAAAATAAAATAAAAAAAAAATGTAATTAGTTAAAAAGTAATCAATTAAAAACAAAAATTTAGTTGAATTACTATAGGTCAGTATGCATTTTTTAATTATTATAGTTGATGGTAGTTAGTAGTTACGTATCAAATATTAAATATTTATGAAAAAATATGATTTTAAATCATAAATTCTGTTTTAGTAATGCATAATATTATGATTTATTGAAATATATTTTTTCATGTTCTGAAATTTATGTTCGTATTATCATATGGATATTATCAAAAAAACTACGTATATATTGCGGTTTATTGATAATCCTTTGATCTGACTACTTATAATAAGTATAATTGCTTCAAAACATAGTTTAACTTATAATTTTGATAACAAATTGGATTTGTAATTAATTTCCCATCGATTATTATTGTTTTCAATTAACACATTTGTACAAAATGTTAATAGGTAGGTATATTCTTGTATTGCACAATTTATTATTTGCTTGTTAAATGATTGTTTATACATAGCCTATAGGCTATAATAACTCAAAACAGATCAATTATTGAGAAGTTTATTTATTTTGAATTACGTAATATGTTGAATATTTTTTAATTTAATTTTTTAATATTGATGTTCAAAAACCAATAATTTTGTGAACAAATAAATAATTTATTTTATGCTGATATGATACTATTATATGATTTGTTTAAATAATTAAAACTTAAAATATTACAACCCAAACGTAAAATATACTTAATTGGTTTCGGTTTTGGAACGGAGCTATGAATGACGAATGTATTGATTTTTATTTTTATAAATGTTTATACACGATTTATAGTAGAAAAAATTATTTGATTTTCAACATTAGGAATACTTTTTGGTGGAATATTTGATCTAATTATATTACTTTTAAGAGATCACAATTTAAAATTTTCAGTATTTTGCAGAATGATGAGAAAAAAATAAGAATAATAATAATTAAAATTAAAATAAGGAAAAACTAAATGTTTTAAGCAAAACTAGTTTTCGACAAAATCGATTTGGTTATTTGGTCTTCCTAAATTAAAAATTAAAAGTTTTAGTAGCTTGACATTTTAGCACCTATTATTATTTCATTATTTTATAAATTACCTATATTATATATTATTTTTACTATTCATATTAACACTTTAAATCCTTAAAAAAATTATCAAAATATTTGTGCTCTATATATAATCTGAAGATAATGATAATTTTTGCTGATAGCGCGTATAAMATGGTTAATTGAAAGAGAAATACTTATAAATAAATGAAACATTTAAAATATTTTTAATAGGTACTTGGTATTTTGTATGTGTTGAATTAAATAATAGTGACATTTAAACAAGAAGCGACAGTTCTTACAGTCTTACTATTGGATTTTATAATATCTTAATTTTGACATTATAAAATATTGTTAATATTATCATTGCTGTATAAAAGACGAGAAAATTCACAAGATAAAATAAATTGATTATAAAATTTAAAAAAAAAACAAAAACGATGTAGTCTTTTATCGTAATGATATTTATTATAATAAATTGGACGATACTATTAAAATATAAAAAAGTTTTCTATAATTATTATTATGTTTACCTGGTACATATTGCATTTATGTTACTCAATAAATACATGTTATGTACAATAAACATAAGTATAGCCTCGGGTATAGCAATTATAATATTTTAAAGTAATTCATCCTACTTTTTATTCTTTATTAAAATGTATGCATTTTTATAATATTTAAATTTGTTTTAAAGTTTGCATCCAATAATTTTTTTTAATGTTGTATAAGTATAATTTTAAAATATTATACAATCAAGTACTATGTATTGTTAAACTTAGGTTCACTATACTATGGAATCTGAAAAAAAGTACTTTTACTCAGGAAAATACATTTCTACGCATAAAAAAATCAATACATAAATTCCTGCATTGCGTTCATCTGGAAATATGTGGATATAGAACATTTTAAACATTAATCAACTAATAAATGCAAATAGTTACACACGTGTAAATTGTATTACATATTTTATTACATATTTTGTTAGTACATGATTTTTATTTACCACAACAAATGTAAATTACACATACACACACAAAAACACACCTAACCAAATTTATCAATAAAAAAAATAAAAAAATTATATATGAAATATTTTTGTAATCATTATTAATTAGATGCATAGAATATAGATAGTTTAATTGAGAAGTTACAACTAATTTAAAATTTCTTTCTTCATGCACAAATATAAAAAAATGTGTATTCAACCTTTTTTTGATTCGTGCAAAAACGTTTGTTATTTATGTTGATTTAAAAATACAATAACTAAACAGTAAAATTTATAATATTTTTTCACTTAGTTCATTATAAGATTTTTTAATGTACATTCATTAACCTTGATAATTCGTTATAGTCTTTAGATTCATATATTATCTATACGTATATTATACACTATTCCTAATATATCTGATAAAGATAGTAGGTAAATACTTRAATAAATCTATAAATATAAAAATTATCTTAACATACTATTATATAGGTAATTTATCTAATAATGAAACGTCGAAATTCGAAATATTGTTTTATTAAAGTTAGTTTAATTTTAAATTCTAAACGGAACGATACTATTACAAACGTGAGTTTTAATTAATTATTATTATTATTATTTTTGTTTATCATTTAGGGGCAATAAAAATCTTGAAATGGAGAAAATTGGATATGAAGTTTTCTTTTTTTTCGGCGAAAAGAGAAAGATTTAAGTTTAAAATCTGCAATTGTAATTTCTAAGACTTGAGAATAAAACAAGAGATTTCTTATAAGTGTTTTTTACAGTAATTTATAGATATCAAGTATAAGCACGGGGTTTTTTAAAGACATTTGTAGTTAACATTTCAGGAAATTATATATGTAAAAAAAATTAGTAATCTTTTCATTTGTTGCAATTTAAAAAAATTTAATCTCATGAACTTTAAATTGTTTGCCTGGTTTTAATTATTTATACCACAAACTCATGTACATCGTTCTGTTACATTCATCACTTATAAGTTGATAATAATATTATAATCTTTATTATTAAAATATATTACATATTATTATTGCATTRTAACATGCAATAAACCTGTATGGTTTTAAAGTTAATTTAATTTATGTACCAAGTGTATTACCAATGAAAAAATTTACTAATATTTTATTAAATTGGGAGATTGGTAGCTAAGTAAATAAATATAATGATTTATAATGATAATAAACAATAAACTGTCAATTGAATTAAAATTTATATCACACATGGGTACAATAATATATAAGATACCTAGATTAACCAACGTCTTTATCAAAAACACTTTAAAATATGTATTATCATTAGTAATCAGTAAAGCCAGCAAATTAAATCCTTCGATTATTTTAACGCATTAGATACTCACATGTCACATAACAACATCAGTAGTTCGCAATAACTGTGACATAATAATTGATCATCAGCAATGAATACAATAATAATAATTTTATTTATCATTCGTTCATAATTTGTCAAAACTCATACGATTTACCAATTACTAATACCACTAATAACAACTTAGAAAAATTTAAATGGATTAATTATAATATTAGTATATTTTATTATTTGTAATTATGAATTTGATCGTATTAAGTGGTATGCTTAATAACATTTATTACATCGTTATGCTTCTTTATTATTAAATTAATAATTAATATTCTAATACAATTATTATATGTTAATTAATATGTGATTAATAAACTGGTGCCTAAAAATATAAATTTAACAATTCTTACTAACATTATTTTTATTATTTTTTCATCATACAAAAATAATAATAACATATTTTAGTATATGATATAGGTCAATTGTATCTCTTTATAATGAAAAATCCTATAATACCACAGACAAATCAATCCAATATATTATATATTTATCTTTTTATTCATTTTAAATTTTAATCTCCAAGAAATTGCATTATATATAACTGGTAATTGTGAATTGAAAGCTTTTTTTGCAAGCTCATTTTCTGGCTGTATTTTTAGGTCATTATGAAAGTTAGCTGCATGGACGCGCTGCGTCATCCCCGACTTGGGAAGATGGCTAAGAAGAACCGTATCGTGGGTGCCTCTGACGTTCCACATGACACAGGCACTTACGGGCCATGGTTTTTTCCAGTGGTACCTCCATCGTATGGACAGGGCCACCAGTACACGTTGCTGGCAGTGTGCAGACGACTCGGACATAGCCGAACACACGTTATTCCAGTGCGTATACTTGGGAAGGATTGCGGGAAGCTCTAACCTCCCGGCTAGGTCATCGTCCGAGCACCATCGACGTGCCCGACATAATCTGTGGTCCAGTGTTCGAGACTCTGCGTTGGATCCATTCGAGAAGCAAACGGTTCTTATAGAAGCAGAGGAAGCTTTTACATTTTTTTATCGCATGGTGGAAAACATCCTTCCTGCGAAGGAGGATGAGGAACGACGTCGTCAGGCCGCAGAAAGACCTCCGGATTCACCGAACTAATTAATAATTACGTAAAGTTAAGTTTCTTAAAAATGTAGCCGAAGGCAAGTTCTCGAACATTATTGTACAACAACCTATTGTAATAGCTATCGAACGGGAGACTGGCCCGTCACAGCTACTTAAATATGTAATTGGTTATTTTTATCAATAAACGACGGTGGCTGGAGGAGAAGTACTAGCACCATGGTTTTCCACCGGTTCTCAATACTCACGAAATAATAAAAAAAAAAGGTCATCATGAAGGGCTGAATTTGCTATATACCATGGAGCATCGGTGATAATGCTTAGGGTGATTGACTGGAAAGCTTGAATAGGTCGAATGTGAGTGGGTTTTTCTGGGCCTCAAATTTGGATGCCATATGATCATACTGGCTTGATGATTACTTTGTATAGGAGTAGTTTGTTTTTGAGACTCAAATTTGATTTCAGTAGAGGTTTAAGTAGATGGAGGTGGGAGTTAAGTTATTTTCGTTTTTGTTTAGTGTGGTTTGACCAGGTTAATCTTTTATCCAGAGTTATACCTAGGTATTTAGTTGACTGGTGAAGTGGAATTGGTTTGTTATTGAACTTTAGTGGGAGACATTCCCTTTTGTTTTGTGAAAAATTCATCTGTGCGGATTTTAACATAATATAGTTACAACTGAAATTACCTTCAATCCATCACGGACCACCTATGTCAATATAAAACACATTACATCKTTAACTTCCGATTAAATAAACTATCCCAAAACTCTTAAGTATAGGTAGAAGGATAATTTAAACAAAATAATTTTCTACCACATTAATTACACATTAATAATTAAATAATATAACATGTTCTAATAAGCACCAAATTTTCTGTTCAGTGGATTGGGAGGGGTGATGTAAATGATTATGTAACATTTGSTATTTAATTATTAAAAATATAATTGATCGTTTAAGTTTTATACCTACCCATATCTAAGTTATTATAAATTTTGAAAAAAAGGGTTATTGAGCGGGATTTAACTCCCTTCCTCAACGTTAAACTATTATTGAGACAAACTGATACAATAATAAAATACCTAGACAAAAAGCTTATTCTGGATGCCATTATAATATGCTATTTATATAATTTATATTATAATATAATCAACAAAATTCTAACGTTCGTATTTCGTCTATACCGGTATATATAATACAAATTCAAAGAGTATTAAATATACATATAACAATATAAGAACTTACATGGGAACTACATTAATATGAATAGAATATTTAAGTAAAAATGGCCATCCAAGAACCTAGGTATCTTATATTTAATAATAATACAAATAAAATATATATTACTATGGATTACAGTTAATACATTTTTGTTATTATTTCTTACCCTCCATATAAGTATAATGAGTTATTCACATTATGTACATAGTACATCACTAAGTCGTGTCTCATTTTAAATATCGTATAAAGCTTTTTCGTTATTGCTTTAAAGTTTATTTGATGTCAAGTTGCTCTTATGATTAAATCAATAATACAAGTGTTTGTGATTTTTACGTATTTTGTCAAAATTCAATCTTTGAATGCTTATAAAAAAAAAATTGTGACTATGAATTTATTTTATTTTTCAACTGCTATTGTAACAATATGTTAAGAGCATTGTATTAAATTTTCAAGATTTTTTACACAAAAAATAAATTTTTATCGATATTGATTTTAAAAAAACTAMTAATTATCGAAAATTGCATATACCTATGAATAGTTAAACTTAAGTCAAAWTTTTTTAAAAATTTCATSGTGGATAGAATATACTTATATAAACATTTGGTGAAAATTTTATGTATCAATGGTCATTTGTCTTAAAGTTACATCAAAAATCAAAATCGATTTTGTCAAAAACTGATTCTATGTAAAATTTCCTGTTTTTCCCTTAATTTTTAGTTTGTTTATCCCGATTATTTAGAAAAATATTAAGAAATTTTTACTTTTGATCCCCCAAAGTATCAACTAGATTCACTTTCTGATTTAACAAGGTACTGAAGTTAAAATTCGAAGCACTTTTACTTCCCCAAAACGTGATGATAGTCACAAAAAAATAAATATTCATGGTTTTGACGAATTTTTGTCAATATTTGAACTTCAAATGATAATAAAAAAAAATTATGGCTATGTATTCTTATAACTTTTTTATCACTATAAGAATAAATTATGAGAAACTTTGTATTAAATTTTCAAGTTTTTTATAGGCCCAAAAAATTTTTATCGTCAATTCAAAAAAATTCAGTTATCTATAAATATCTAAAAAAAAGTCAAAATATTTCGAAATTTAAATCATGTAAAGAAAATGCCAATCTAAATAACTGGTGAAATTTTCAAGTATCTACGACTTATACTTTTTGAAAAATAACAAATATTTAAAATCGTTTGAGGATAAATCGTTATCGTTACGCTATTTCGTAAAAATTTAAAATTCATACGCACTTAAAATTTTTCCTATAATGATGTTTCAAGTTTTCTCTATAGCTACTTGAAGGAAAACTAATGGAAAACTTAGTATTGTATTTTTAATCCTTAGTTATAAACACAAAAATTTTTATGATTTTTCAACTGATTTCGTATAAGTTTGAACTATAAACGGTTATAAAAAAAAATTACGATTTTTAATTTTTTTTGGCTACAATAAGAACAATTCATAAGGAACCTTGTATTAAATTTTCAAGTTTTTTTGGTCGTCCAACATTTTTTTACTAGCAATTCAAAAAAAATTCTCATAAAAATCAAAAATTACAGTTGTCTAAAAAAACTCAAAAAAAGTCGAAAATTTTTGAAAATTAAACTATATATATAGATATCACTAACATAAACATTTGGTGAAAATTTCAAGTATTTACAGTGATTAGTTTTTGAAATCAACCATATAAAAAATTAATTTGGTCGAAAACTGGTTTTGCGTAAAAATGCCAGTATATCAAAATACTCGAAAATTGAATTATTATTTTTAGTTTATTTTTTTTAATTGCTTAGAAATATAGAATATTGTGTACATTTTTTATTTAAGTTTACGTGATTAATTGATCTCTGCAAGGCATGTGTTTACTAATAGAAAGAAACCGTTCATTAAAAAAATTTCTAAAGTATGTTTACATCCTATTTAAGATTAATTTGTTTTTTAAATTAATTACCCAAGATTAAAKAGCTTACTACAGGTAAATTTTAAATAATGATTTAATATTATGATCCTACCTTGTATTAATATTAAATGTCATTCACAAACGACATCGGTTCATTTGTCAATAGGAAACGTCCATTTAGTATAAGTGTGATGGTATATTGTATATTAACTATAGGGTTCTTTTAATTTTCACATTTTCACATTTAACTTCGTCATTTTAGATTGTAAGAATATATTTTGCCCACTTTTAGGTATATATTATAATTTAATAGCTGATATGATAACCATAATCTTAAAAATAAACGAAGAATATGTATATATTTTTTTAAACACTTGATAAATATAATAGTTGGTCTATATTATTTTTAATTTTGGTCCACTTTTATTTTTTCAAAGAGACCAGTTATTATAGTCAGGTCCATCCCCTACAAAAAAACACTACACTGGTCTGTAAAATATGTTTATGTTAAATTATTTTTTTTTATAGTAGCAACCAATTTTACACAAACATTTTTTTTCTTGACTAGTGATTAATATATTTTAAGAAAAATGTATTGGCAATGGATAAGATTCCTATCAGTCAACATTTGATATCTACCAAAGGAACTACTCCTAAAAATATAACTACAAGATTAAAAGTGGGTTGTTGTCATCCCCAGGAAGATTATAATTGAATTTTCTTTGAGAAAACATTTGTTTTTCTTGTTTTACAATCAAGGATAATTATAACGTTACTAATTATCTGTTGACTAGATTAGAATTTATTGCAATATGCAGTTATTCATTTTTATATTACAGCAATAAACTCACATCGTTGTCTTCTTCTTACAAGTGCGTAACATAGTGAATTTTACGCTCAGCAGATCACGTTTAACTCTGTTAGTTAAGAATTTAAAGTAAATTTAAAGGTAAAATTATTATTAGTTAATATCATAGGCTTTTTAACATATATTCATTTTAAGTTATGATTATTTTAACCCGTACAAATACAATTTTAAAATACTCCTAATTCGCTTTCAAATTAAAATATGTTACAAACTTATAAGATTGACTAAATAATATTACTTTTAGATTTTATAAGATGTCAATTCACTCTAAATTCTTAACCAACAGAGCTAAACATGATCTGCTGAGCGTAAAATTTGCCATGTTAAGCACTTGTAAGACGGTAGCAACACATACGAGTATCACAATCTTTTATTTAAGGTAAGCTTTTTAAAAAGAGTCCGATAAGTGTATGTGAGAAGTTGAAACCTAGTTAAATAACACTGATTTTTTAAATTGGGTCCAGTGGAGAAAATAGCAGGATGATTGATAAATATACTGTAAAAGAAACACTACTGCGTATTCAGAGAACGTACAGACGTAGGTACTGCAGGGACTTGGAAATCTGATTGAGCTCCAATTTGATCAAGTGATTAGATAGGTACCTAGTAGATTATGGACAGTAAGTTGGTTTAAGTAAAACATAATAATGTTTTCATGTTTAACTTAAAAGTCTAAAATCACGGATGAATGTAAATGTTTAAAGAAATCATTTTAAAAACAGAAGCATAGTAATCCGGGAAATTTTCCCATTCAAATTAATTTATAATATATTACTTAGTCTTAAAACGTATCTATAGTGTTTTAGATTCGATATAATTGGATAAATAAGTTTTAAAATAACAACACGTCATATTATTTTTATAACTATATTCAAATAAATCCAAGACTAGGTAGTGAATTATTTTATTATTTGATCATAAATGATGATTCTAATGAATATGTTTGGTGCCAGAGCTAATTCTAGTTTATGGTGTTACAATGTTACTACTTAAAGTAAACCACTATTATGCAATTTATTGGTCATTAATTATTGGACGCACAT